GAAACACAGTGAGTTGTTATTCCAGGGCCATCATGAATATGCTCAGGCCAATCAATGCACATCTCAGCAAAAATACTCTGTAGCGCCTCATTGAGGAGCGCATTCATTGAATCGATAAACAAATAAAGTTAGGGCCAGACTGGAACTGATAACATAACCATTTTCAGTTTTATTTATAATTTAGCAGCCAAACACGACTGAGGGCAGTTGTGGTGGATATCGCCCTGGGGCTGCAGAGATATGTGCAAAGTGTTTCCAGAGCAGAGGAACTTCCTGGGTGTTTGGATCCTCACACACCCACACACACACACACAAACACACACACACACACACGGTGTCTGGAGCTTTTCTTGTAGAGATACTGTGTTTATATACACCAGTGATACCTGGTTAGTACTGTATCTTAGCTTAGGTACAGTTAGGTACTGTATTAAAAATTAAACCACATCCACAGGATGTCATTTTATTCACATGGCTGTAGGACGATAGGCTTCAGTCCCTGATGTCCCTGAAAGGGGTAACAACACACACACACACACACATACACACACAGAGAGAGTAAGGGCAGCTACTGTAAATATCAACGAATACACAAATAAATAAACTTCCATTAAGTCCCCAGTGCAGAATGAAGTACTCAGGTGTGCCGAGGTCGAATACATAAGAGAACACCATTGGATCAACAATGCATTATAAAAAAGGTAAATTAAGGATCACAGCTAAATTACTGTGCTCCTCCCAAAGTGACCACTGTCAGTGAAACGACGACGGTTTATATTTTAATTCTTTAAAACCGCTACAAATGATGACAATAGAAAAAAGGTCTCAATGCAATAGCGTTAGAAAACAGGTCATCGTTTAATAGCCTTTTTTGGGGAGAAAATAATTAATTAATAAACACAGTGGCCAGCCTCGGTTTCGTGTTGTGTAGCAATAGTGCCATCTTCTGGTAGCCCTTCGAGGGAAATGATGTATCAAAACAGATGAATTCCCATTTTCACACACATCCACTGCAGCTTGACTTTTTTTTCCCCCAAATGTGATGGAAAGTGTGTTTGTTTTGCAGCCATCCACATCACTCGTGCCAGATTCAGTGGGAGCGATGAGCTGGGTTACACCTCCTTCCTGGCCCACACCTCCATGCCCGGCCTCAGTGCCTTCTACGAGTTCAGGCTGAGGTTCACCCTGGCCGACAATTCATCTGCCGTGAAAGACAACCTGATCCTGTTCGCTGGGCATAAAGGACAAGGTTAGGCCATTTCCTGACACCTGCACAGCAATTTAAAATCATTCCCACTGTCAATGAAAAAAAAAGTTAAAAAGGAACTGAAAGGTTGTCTTCTTAGGTGGATTCTGGGTGTCAGACTTCATTAAGGATATAAAAAGAAATGGAATTGGTGTTTTGAGAGGTTCTTCACCTGCTGTGTATGATAATGTGCCATCTAATAGATTTCCACTCTCTGCTCTGAAATCCTCTAATCAAGAAGGTTCCCTGAGGACTTCTGTTCTTGGCAGATTCGGAGACTTTAATGGTCTTCAGTGTTGTCCACCACTTAATTACTCTCCCACTAAACAGTTATTGTTCCTGACTTCAAAATGCGGGATTAAATAAACACACATCTACAGCAGCTCTGTTGTGTTTGAGGTAATTGTCGTCAACAGACTTGGAGACATGGGTGCACCATGAAGCTGTCAGTGGCTGTCACTTTAAATTAGGATCTCCTCTCTGTGGGGTCAGACCTGGTGGCAGGTAACCACGGTGTCACCAGTACCCGCATTTTATATCAAAAAGGAGATAAAAAATAAATAAATAAATACAATAGGTGGAAAATTGAATGCATTTGTTTTCTCAGGAGAATATGATTCATCCTGGTGGAGGCGAAACAAAACAAAACAAGAGCGATATTAATAATAAAACAATTGTCAGCAGAGAGACAGAGACAGAGAGAGGAGCACAGCTGGTAACGGTTCCTTTTCAAAGGGACAATATGGAACAGACGAAATGTAAACACCTTGGATCATAATTGGTTTTAGTGAAGCTTCATCTTTAATTAAAGCAGCCAAGGAATGAACGTCAGCTCCGTGTCTTTCCAGTGATCAAGCTCCATCGTATTTCCAACAGCCGACTCCAGCTACTGAAACATATGAAACAATAAATGACACAGTCAAGCAGATAAATGTAAACACTGATGTGAATGTCTTTTAGCAGTTTTGATGTGTGTGTTTGTTCTAATGTACAGTGTTCTGTGTGTTCACACAGGGAATGACGGTGACGACTTCCTCGTCCTGGGGCTACGAAGTGGCCGCGTTCTTCATAGATTCAACCTGGGATCAGGTGTGGCGACCATCGTCAGTAACCCAATCGACCGACGCCTCACAGTTCACACTGTGATATTTGGCAGATCAAAGACAGCAGGATGGCTGAAGGTAAGTTGTCCGTGTAAACACCTTGGATCATAATTGGTAAGGAAAAAAAAGAAAGGCGTTGTTTACATTTAAGTTATAGAAAGACAAAAATGTTGTTACCCTATCACAGAGGTCTGCAATGGTTCCTGGGCCAGGTGTGGCTCTTCAGCCCCTTTACATTAGATTCTGTAGAATGATGTTGAATATTACTGAATTAACCAAATTCAATTAGATTGTTCTTTTACTGAAACTAAAAACATTTATGACTAATAAACCAATGACCCAGTGTTCTTGGATAGGTTAAGTCTGTTTGTTAAAGAGAATAATTAAAAAAATTAACACCTGCCACAAACTCAGAGAGACACTCAACAGAAACTATTAAATATTTCTGAGCACCAATTTTTTTTTTTTTTTTTTGTTCATTCTGACTTTGAGACGATGAAGCACAATCTTCAAAGCCTTACCGTTTGGTTGATGCTCCTTTCAGACCTACTCATGTTGAAACCTGCTAATAGCTGCTAATTGTGGAAAAAAACACTCTTTTTATGAAAATTTCACCTTTTGCTTGCTTTTTTAAATGTCAATTTCAATTTCTCAACTCCACTATTTGTAATGAGGCGATTTACATTTCTCAGAACAAACAATGAAGCTAATCCTTTGTCCTTTTGGTTCTTTAAGCAAAACTTTAATTTAATTACAAAAACTTTCATTTGATGAATTTGCCTTAAAAATAAACTTTTTGTGGTGGTGAAAAAAGTAAACAATTAATTGTCTGAAAAATAAACTTTTTGTGGTGGTGAAAAGTAAACAATTAATTGTCTAAATGTTCCAAAAAGTTAAAAAAAAAAAATCCTTCTAGTCAGACTCCTTATGCTTATTTTCTCACTTTATTTCTCACCAACTTTATACACTGCCATTTTGTGCCTCTTTACGTTGAATCAGATTCAATTTATTTTTATACACGGCACCAGCTCCAGGGACTTGGGCAAATTTATTTGTGTAGCACATTATCTTGCAGATAGTTCATTTGGAAAAAGAAAAGAAAGAAAGAAACAGAAAGAAAAATGGTCATTTTTAAGGAAGTGGGAGAATGCGGTGTCTTTGAAATATCTGTACAAACAACTGCTGAAAAAAGTGCATTTAGGGTGGAGTGTGTAAAGATAACAGAAATGTACAGGATGATGAATGAGGGCGGTGTAAAAAGAGAGGATGTAGCTGATACACATTATACTGTATTACAAAGGAGGTCATTATAAATGACATGTACAATAATAGATTTATCATATCTGCTGTTGATGTAGCCTGGTGGATGTTTTAGTAGAACACTTTAGATTCCCCTGTAACAACAGCCGTCTCATTTCCATAGCCTGGTAGAATCCAATGTTCCCATTCTGTAGCATGATAATTAACAATTACATTTCCCTGTGTAAATCATTCTCAGGTAAACGGTCAACGCACCAGGACAGGATCGTCTCCAGGACCCCTGGCGAGACTGGGTGCATTCAGCCACCTTTTTGTTGGTGGATATAATGAGTACACCCCTGAACTGCTGCCAATTGGCTCCAGATTCCATCATGGCTTTCAGGGTAAGACAGCTACAGCTTCATTATATCCAAACACTGCTGTATGCCACGGAGCGCGGGGGGTTCAGTGGAGTTTCTCTCAGGATCTTTGTGTCTTTGCGAGCGGAGGCGATGAAAAGTTACAGCTTCACACAACAACATCTTTTAGGCCAGAACAGAGCTCGGAGCAGTCGGTGTCTGCAGTCTTTAATGCCTTCACACCCGCTGCAGCTGTGTGTTGATCTATTCCACTGTTGCTATGTTGCTGGAATCAGAGTGCCAGATAACAATCTGTGTCATTTCTACCTTCTCTCTCAGTCAGGTGCAGGATTACATTCTGGATGTTGTTTATTTGGTCTGCTAATGTGCAGAGCTGTGGAGCCACAAAAGTAACGACGACTGGAGCTCCAGTAAATCACTGAGATCACATTGTGGCATTTTTACTATTATACAGCTGTGAGGCTTGTTATTATAAATGTCACAGAGACGGTCTACGTGAGGTGAACTGGAGTGTCATTTTTGTGTTTTGCTTATTTTTAATCAAATTTAATAAGAAAACAGCGATACCAAAACCAGGGCCAGATATTACATTTAAAGTTAGCCAGTTTAGCCAGCGTTGTGTTTTCTGTCTGCAGTCCAGTGTTGTAAATATTTGTTGTAAATACCTACATTGTTAATGTATTTCGACAATGTCATCAGTTTGGAGGTATTTTGACATCTGGGTTAAAGACAGAAGTGAGACCTACTGTAAGATTTGTTTTGTTACGACAGAAGGAATTCGATAAAACATGCGAAGACACGCATAAGCTAATGTCTCTTCTCACTCTAACAGCACAGTGGACAGATGAGGTGTTTACATCTCAATATGCCACTTTTTTGTTGGGACTTATTTGACTTGTGTTTGATTATTGAAACATTTAAATACAGATTAAGTTACTCTGTGTTCATTAGAAAGCAGAGGATAGTGTTTTTAATTGAAATTCGGTATTGGTGTTAAAGCTCTGCTCACTTTCTGTTCAGTTGACAGTGTTAGCTTACATTGATTTATGTTAAGCTCAGTTGTATTGATATGTTGTCTAATATGACCACAGTTTCAGTTTCAAAACTATGTTTAATACAAACATATTTGTATAATTTGGATTTAAAAAGTGCTTCTCCTCACTTTGATGTTTGTCATTTCAAGTGCCTATCATAAAGAAGGATCTGTGTGGTACTGTGTATACACAAATCAAAAAACTCTCGTCAGTTGAATATAGATGGTATTAAGAGAACCCTCTTGTAAAATTATATCTTGTATTCTACTAAACAAACTGTCAGTCAAAGCTTTTAATTTTGTTAAATCACACCACCACCAGTCCACAGTGACGGCACTCTCTCTAAGAGACTCCAGTGGAACCCTCACCTTTCTGCCCGAGGTGTAATGAGAACACATGACCAGATCTAATCAGATCTGTGTGACCTTCTCTGTGCCCTAATCATGATGGCTGACAGTGAACACACTGATAATGCACTTCACTTCAAGATATCACCAGTCCCCTGTAGTAAGGTGACAGAGGAAGTGGTGGGTCTGCAGAGAGGGAAAAAAAGCTCCTGAATACAAGCTAATAATTAACACATATTCTTGTGCATTTAAATTAAAAAAAAGATTGACAAAAACTCATCAGAAAACATTCTCACGTCACATACTGCAGGCCTGGAGCAAATTTTAATTATAAAAACACTAATCTTCCTTATTAATCTGCCCTGGCTCCTCGGCGGTCTCTGTTTGGAGCGCCGCAGCCATCACTTGAGTCTGCCAAGAAGACGGCATCACCGCATGAATATTCATGAATGAGCATGACATTTCCCCTGCATCCTGTTTATGCCAATGACTAATGCAGCAGAGAAAAGGGAGTCGGCATTTGCAGATGAGTACGAGGCTTGTGCTCAGGCCTCGTATTTATAGAAGGCCTTCAGCTCTGCAGGCACAGGCCAAAGCAAATATTGTCTTGTTCAAATTGAATTATGAAAGCAAAAAAAAGCAAATATGGCGAGGGAGATGTAAGAAGATGAGGAGGAGACAGTCACTCCTGATCTTCTGAAGTGTCGGGCCTGGATGGTAGAGGTTCTATCCTGTCCACTTTTAGAAAGAAATAATAAAAACTATAGATACGTACTTGTAAAAAATAAAAAAATTTAAAAAATCAACGTTAATACAAGGTACCTAAGATGATTGTATAATTGATTTTAAGACGTGGCAGACGTTAGACGAAGAGTCTACTTTGTATTGGCTTTCAGCAGAAAACAGAACACAAATGTCAAAATAGAGTTTGGAATCACATTTTAATCCTCCATCTGTTCCCTCTTTTTTTATAGGCTGCATATTTGATGTACAGTTTCGCACAGGCACAGACAGAAAATTCCAATCCCTGGGACAGCCAGCCTTCGGACGCAGCGTGGGTCAGTGTGAGGTCACTCAGTGTGATCATCTCCACTGCAGAAACGGGGGAACGTGTGTGGACTCCGGCTCATCTGTGTAGTAAGTGGGAGGAAAAGAAAAACACATTTGGATCAGTCTTCCCCTTGTTTATATAATATTTCCAGTTATAAATAACACATGATGTCTCCTGAAATGCATGAGCAGTTGTGCATGATTTGCATACTTCTGCTTGCTGTGACTAGACTTAAAGAGCCCTCAGATAATCAGGTACCAGCGCAGTAACAGGAAGTGACAGCGTGTTCACGAGCCCTTTATACCATCTGACTGTGTCCGTCTGCAGTTGCCAGTGCCTATTTGGATGGAAGGGAGCTCTCTGTTCTGAGACTGTGTCTGTGTGTGATGTTCAGCACAGCCCCCCTCCCCTCTGTGCCCACGGATCCACCTGCATCCCTCTTCCAAATGGATACACCTGCCAGTGCCCCCTGGGGACTGCGGGGCTGTACTGCGAGAGAGGTTACATCTCTGATTCCTAAGTATCATTATACTGTATGTATTGTTTATTTATGCAAAAAACATGGAGGCTCACTATTTAATTATTAAACTGCCGCTGTGTTCTGCACGTCCAGGCGTGACCATCAGTGATCCATTCTTCAATGGCAGCCGCTCCTCCTGGATGTCATTCGCACCAATGACCCTCAGACACAGGAGTGTTTTTCAACTGCAGTTCCAACCTCTGTCACCAGATGGCATTCTTGTCTACGTTGCACAGCATCTGAGTGCTCGAGCCGGTGAGGACGTACAGCTTTCTCGTTTCAGAAAGTGACAGGAAGGCGCCTAAAAAATACAATGTATTATTATTATTATTATTATTATTATATATGTATGCACTCAGTACAATATACATTATTTCGGCATATACCATAAGCATTGGATTGTGCAATTTAAGATTTAATTCGATTTGATTCACTTCTTCCCCAATCCTGAGGGTATTACAACAAAAAGTGCATCTGGAGTAAAAACTGTACCAAATCATCGTGGTGAACCCCTTCCTCAAACTCTGATATTCAAGTGAATAATTTATTGTCATCCCACAGGTGACTTTCTCTGCCTGTTCCTGAAATCTGGGTATGTCCAGCTAAGGTACGATATGGGAGATGGCGTCCACTCACTGCAGTCTACTGAGAAAGTAGATCTGCGTGGACAGACCTGGCACACGGTGAAAGCAGGACGAATCGGGCGACACAGCTTCCTCAGTCTGGATGATGAAGAGGTCAGAGAGAATGTAACTGCAGGGATGAGCACCTTAGATGTGGCTACAGACATTTTTGTAGGAGGAGTGTCCACTCTGAGTCTGGTCTCCACTGACACTACTGGAGGAGAACCAGTGGGCTTCACTGGTGGCTTGAGAGAACTTATAATGAATGATCAAGAGCTTGATTTGACACAGAACAGTGCAGTGAGTGGAGCAAATGTGGAGGACTGGGATGGGACGGCCTGCGGGTACAAAATCTGCCAGAACGGAGGTCAGTGCAGACCAAAAGGAACTGACTCATTCGTATGTCTGTGTCCACCGTCATGGACCGGTTCTGTGTGCAACCAGTCTGTAGGCTGTGCAAACAACCTCTGCAGACACGGATCATCATGTTCTCCATCCAGTGAAGGCTCATACAGATGCATCTGCCCCTTACCAAGAGGTGGGAGGTTCTGTGAGGCACGGCTGCAACCAGACATTTTAAAGTTTGTGGGAAACTCCTACGTTAAATACCAGGATTCCAGATACAACACAAGGAACCTGAAACACACACAGATAGCTTTCAGTTTCAAGACGATTTCAAACACCAGTTTGATCATGTGGATGGGAAAGGCAGAGGATGTAGATGATGACTACCTGGCAGTCGGACTTGAGGATGGCCTCCTGAAAATCGCAGTAAACCTGGGGGAAAGACTTTCCCTCCCTTTTGTATACAGAAATCTCACGTTGTGCTGCGACAAGTGGCACAACATCTCCATTTCCTTAAACAGCACCATCATTCAGGTGTTCCTCAACAGGAGGAGAATTCATTTGGAAGATCTGGATCCATCTGAGCGTTACGTGGCTCTTAACTACAGAAGTCATCTTTACTTTGGGAGGTTTGAATTACACAGAAACATTTCAGTGGTGACTTCTGGGTTGTTTTCCAAGGGCTTTAAGGGGAAGATTAAGAACATTATTTTGTTTGAAGACATCAAACCAGTGCAGTTTCTCGAAAATAGTGAGGGTTTCAATGTCCATGATGGTAATGATGACTAGTCAATCAGGAACACGGTTCAAACTAGGTGTTATGTGTTTTACTAACAAAACATATTTTTAAAAGTAACACAATTCTCCCCAGATTTGCATTTTAAATTTCTCATATATTTCAGTTTTCTGTCTAGGTCATCATCAGTCAACTGTGCACCTCCTTTTCATATAAGACAATGTTTTAAAATCAACAATAAAAAAAGGATTAACTTTATTGCGAACTGTACAGAAACACAGTGCAAGGGCCAACTGTTACTCACGTATATTACAAGCCAAAATGTACACACTTTTCAGTAGAAAGAATGCTAAAAAATATTAAAGGAAATTAAAAAGAAAAACAATTAGGGGAAAGAAAAAAGCATCACTGTCACTGCTATCTACCATGGGTAAAATAGTTACTGTTACATTCATTCTGATAAACAAATTAATTGTTTTGTTTCCTTTTTTAAATCAAATCACTTGTTACAAGACTGAAATATTAACTTGATACGTTGCAGTTGTCACAGCAGTTTAATACAAAGATAACACGTATAATAAAAACATTAAAAAGTTAAAAAATGTCATTGAGAGTTTTCTCTTGGTCTGAAGTGTCTTATCTTCTTCAGTCCTACTGAAATGACCTCATTTTGGCTGTATATAACATAAATGGCCTTCAAGCTGCAATATAGTCTATAAAATAAACAAGCAGACAGCAGTCTTTTTTCGCACTAATATTAAAATAAAAACAATTATGAATAACTGTCTTTTGAACTTCTGCGTCCATTCTCATAATCAGAGTCCCTCCTGTGTCTGTGTCTGTCCTTGTGCCGGCCGCTGTGATCGCCACTGTTGTGCCTCTCTTTCCTCTTCTCACTGTAGCGGTCCTCCGAGTGTCCGTGGTGCCTGCTCTTCTCTCTGTACTTGTCATCGTAGCCACGCTCGTGCTTTTTCTCCCGCTCACGCTCCTGGTGTCGGCTCTTCTTCTCATGGTGAGAGTCCCTGTGGTAGCTGTGCTTCCCTTGGTGATCCCTGTCCTCCGTGTTCCGTTCTGTCCGCGGCCTCTCCCAGGGGTCCCAGTAGTGCTCTTCGGGACGCTTGTGGTGTCTAGGCAAGGACGATTGTTGCGGTTGTTTCGATAGCTCAGAGGAACTCTCTGGATGCAGCGAGTCCAATCCAGGTGGTGCAGGTACATGTGAAGTTTTTTCTGAAGCACCGGACCGTATCTGGTCCTGATTCTGGGTGTTTGGTGCAGACAAAGTGTGGGTTGGAGGATTAGATGAGTAATCGCAGCTGCCAAGTACCTGAGGCTGTTGAGACGCTGGAGAAGCTGCACTGTTGAGTGTGGTGGCAGGCTGAGCTGGTGGGGGCCACTGTGCTGCAGGTGGCGTTCCTGCACCATCAGGTTGTTCCTGGTCTTGTTTCCCTTTTGTCTGAGACGTCTGAGTCACTGTTTGGCTTTCTTCCTCCTGTTTGTTCTTGGCCTGGAAAAGCTGCAAATATCCCTGGTGAAATGGTGTAACTGGATCATTTTTGGTGTTGCTCAAGACAGGAATAGGTGCTGGAGGACTGCTTTTAGCCTGTTGTAGCACCACTGTATTTTCTGCATTGGGGGGTGTCGATGTTTTTTTCAATATCCCACTTACAGGAGGGGCGGAGATGTTGATCTGCTCCATCGCAGCCTGAGGTTTTAAATGAGGCAAAGAATTCCCACCAGATGCATCTTTTTCAATTTCAGAAGGAACATCAACTTGGCCTTTGTTAGAGTCAGTGCGGCTACTTTCCCTCTCGCATGGAGATTCTGACAGGCTTGCCAGGAAGGCTTCAGTGGATACATCTGGGGGTTTATCTTTGAGAGAAATCTGTGCAGGAGGGGTCACCGCCACAGCATCTTTCACCGATGGGACGTTCACTGCAGATGCACGAGTTGGACTGGAAATCTCCAGGTCAGCCTTAGCAGGTTTGTTCTCCTTCTTCTTGATGACAAAGCGATCTCGAGGAGCGGCAGCTGCAGGAGTTACAGGGCACCGAGTAAAAGCATCTGATTTGGGAGGGGATTGAGTTTTGGAGGGGTTCTCTACCGGCATTGAAGATGTTTTTCCAACATCTGGCAGAGGTGGCAGCTCCCCTCCCCAGCCTACTAACACACCTGGAAGAAAACGCAGAGGTTTTGGTGCTTCCTGATTGCTGGTCTCTTCCAGAACAGATGGTCCCTCAAACGCCTCTGCTACAGGCTCATCAGTAGTGTTAAGTGCTTCAGCTTTCTCTTTTTTATGAGTAGTAATCAAAGCAGAGAGGAAAAAGTTCTCAGTCTCCTGTGGTGCTCTAGTTTCCTTAGTGATGGATGAAATGGTGATGGGCTTGATTTCAGGGGCCACGCACCCAGTTTCATTCACATCCACTGTGATGAAATCCCTTTTTGGTCTCTGGCGTATTATGAGGCCAAGGAGAAGGTTGGCACGGTTGTTCTCTAAACCTATCAAGTCAAGAGGTAAGAGTTTAGAAGACAGAACCTTCATGCATTTGGTGACAGAAAATATTTATATATAATATTTATCTGCAGAGAGATCTGTATTAATATTTAGATTACCTGGTCCATCAAAGGGAACGAGCTGATGTGGAACTTTTTCTGTGGCACCCAGCGGGATAAGGTACATGTCCTTCACTTGTTTGAGATTATTGGAGACCACACCGAAACGCTTACGGCTGCTGAAGTAGGCATACAGGAGAGTGTAGGAAATCTCGTCTTCATCAGTCTCGGGTGAGAAGCGAATCAGGCAAACTTCCTTTTAACAAAATAAAAGCCAAATGTAAAATATTCTGCGTGTGAGTATTATGAAGTAGCAAATAAATACAGCCATGAAAGGTTTCCTTTCAGTGATTTATTGTTTAATGCTGATCCTTGGAATCTCTCAAACAAACATTAAAAAAAAAATCATGTTTTTTCAGAGGAGCCTCACCTTTGTTCCACTTGCCCGAATTTTCTCCAAGTAGTCCCAGACCATCTGTGGGTTTATCCTTCCACCGACCTGAATGCTGCCTTGAAGATCCTGAATTTAAGAAGAAAAACTAGTATTGTCAAATTATTTCAATAATCTACTTATCACAGTGTAGCTATGAATTGATCATTATTAATCAAAACAAATCTGCATTTCTAAATCTGTCCAAAGAATTAAAAAAAAAAGAAAGACAAATAACAGCAGGTAGATGGATGTTATGTTAAAATGCATTGATTTAATCTTAATCTGGTTAATTTCACAAATCAATTATCAATTAGTGAACTACACACTGAATTAATCAGCCCTTAAGTGTGTATTGCATGTGTTTCCAACTTACCTGAGTCAAATTATCCAAAATGCCAGAAACTGGAAAAGCTTTTGTCACAAGTTTTGCCACATTGTGCATGTGAATGAATCCTCGCCACAGTGACGTCAGGTTGGAGAGGAAAGAAGCTTCTTCATCTCGTCCAGCAACATGCTCTGACCTGTGATGAAAAATAACAACACAGCAGGTTAAAACAAAACAGTAAATAAATAAAATAAATCAGGAAACGAGAAACCATTCAATTAGATACTTTGTTTCATAGCTGGTCTGGGCATTTTTTAAGCTCTCCTCCAAAACATTGAGGGGTAGTTCATCTTCTTCTGCAGGTGGTGTCGAGGTTTTGGTCTCCTCTGTTTTAGTGGACTGCCTTCTGACAACTGTAGTTGCCACTTTGACCACTTTGGTGGGTGCTTCCTCTGCTGGGGCCACCATACGACCTTGGTGAACAAAAAAAAAACATTGAAAACAAAAACCTTGAGAAAAATGTTCTGAAGCTTGATTACATCTTGTGTCAAGGTTTACCTGTGCAAATTTTGCAGCATAGGTCAAACAAATGAGACTTGTGTTGGCTGGTGGTGTCTTTCTCTGTTTTTGTACTCTCTGTTTTCTTCTCGGGTGATTTTGGAGGTTCTGCTGGCTCTTCTGTGACTTTGGGCAAAGGCTCCAGCTTAGAGGAATAAGACAGAATACATAAAAACACATTATATTTCTGTTCTTGTAAAAAATAACACAGTTAGGCATTTGGTGTGTCCCTTACGTCTGCAGGCTCCGGCGCTTTCACTGGTTCCTGGCTTTCAATTTCAATCTCACCCTTGTGCGTGATCTTTGTGATGGGTCGTCTCTCAACCTCTCTCTGCTCCTTTTCTATCATTTCAATAGTCTATAAGAAAAAAAGAAAGAGAGAGAGAAATCAAGAGATGGATTTATGGGCTTTTAAAATGACTTTTAAAATGGGCTTTTAACATCTGGAGGGAACAAGATCATTTTAGAGAAACATCGCTGTAACCTTTGGACAAAAACTTCACACACTGTTGACACGCTCTTTGCTGCACAATTACATCTAATGATGGTCTTGGTTTTAATTTGACTCAGAAATATAGATGTCCTTCAAACTTGGTCTTTATCTAAAAGTGTAACTCTGTAGACTGATTCAGACAGACCACCTGGAAAAGTTTGACGACCCTCCCCCCCGACTTACGTGTCTGTTCTCTCTCTGTCGCCAGGCAGCCAACTCCTTAGAGGCCAGTTCCTCAGGACTCATTCGAATCAGATTTGTAGGTGAAATTTCTCCTTTTAAAACTCTCCGGAACAGAACCTGAGATGAGGTGTGATAATCATAAAGAAAATTAAATACTAAGTTAATAACTGTAACAATACAACAGCAACACAACTGTCTGTTTGACATAGGTACTTACATTATTTTTGGAATCCTTGAGATTAAACATTAAACTTCTGTACTTGTTCTTGTATTTGTTATCAGTGTCTTTGTACAGGTGAAAAAGTTCTCTCTCTGTCTTCTTTGCAACTTCAGAAGCCCTGTCTGTCGAGATATTTAAATCTGACTCCTTTAACCTGAAGGAAAGGGAAAGTGTCATAATGTAGTTGTGCCACAATCAAATCCCCTATTTATTCCTGCATGTTCTTAATATATAAAAAACAACCTTACCTCTGTGTAAGGATTTCTTTGAGGGAGTCACGCACACTCCTCCTGATGGCCTCTACAGATACAGGTTTCTTTGAAGCTGAAGATTTACTTTTTGTCTCGTGTTTTGTATGAGAGCCTATAAGGAAAGAGTCAATGGTTATTACTTGAAAAATGTTTTACCTTCTATTTATCTTCAAATTTAATACAGATGGAGCGGACCTTTATCCACCTCACTGCAATAACACACTGACAAACTGCAGTTAGAACCCACAGCGTGCACGTGATTTAGAAGTCACTTTACCAGAAGGAAGGAGTTGTATCACACTTTATTTTGCCACGATTAAACAAAAAATTAAAACATTCAAGAAGCCCATCCTTCACTGTCAACAGCAGCAGAAAGTGAAGACAGCAGGCAGGAGACAATACAATACTGACCCATGTCTGTAAATTTCTTCATTACTTGGAGTCAGCTGTATTTTTTAAAAAATGTAGCTCCTCTTTAGATTTAGGGGGTAAATAGTGGCTCAAGTACAGACTTTACTGTCTTTTAAGAGACATTGCAATAATCTGAAGTGTGTTCAATTTTTGATACATCTTTTTTAAGCCCATAATCCAAAACCACCTGTCATGTATTATTATAATAATAATCATATTTAATAATTTAATCATATTATAACAACTTTTGCTGCTGTTTGCACAATCATTTAACCAAATTGTTGGCCTAGGGACATAATATTTAAAGGATTTAAAAAAGGTTGCATTAAAAACATATTCTTTTAAATAGGCTTAAAACAGTATCTGATGGAACAGCATTGTCTGTAGTAAATAAATCACTAACCTTGTTTGTAAAATGCATCTTTCACATCTGAAGACAGTCTTCTGTCAGGGTCCTGTTGTGGGAGAAGAGTTCAGAAAACATGTACATTTGTAATGAATTTTGAATGTGCAGGAAAATGCAGAAGAAGAAAACAAACACTTGTACAGTGGAATCACTAAATATTAGAGGTGGAATAACCACAAGATATAAATGCATGAATATAAAGGTGTACGGAATCACAACGATGCCCACCTTTCTTACTGTTCTGTCCCCCCCAGATGAATGGGCCTGGGAGGGTCCCGGTCTGGGTTGAGAAGGTAGCTTGTGATCTTGAGCCTCAATCTTGTCTGGTTTGGTTGCACTCGAGGACTCGGGCTCCTGTTTATTACTCTCTTCTTCACAGCACTTTAAGCAGACATACATCTGGTCCTGCTCCTCCATCTCCCGAACTTTGGTCAGGTCCAGACCCACACAGTCACCGTGGAACCAGTCATCACAGCGACCACAGCCAACCATGAACCTAGGAGGAGAACGCCCGTTATGAAGGTCAGAATTTGCACATTTAAAAATATGTTTATACAAATAAGAGGGTTTAGTATATAGTATAGTATTTCAAAACAATCACTTCATTCTTCACAGTTGTTGAACAAAGGTTAATGACTTACATGTTATTGTGAGGCTTCTTACACAGACCACACGAGTTGTTTCCATCCCATATAGTCTCACTGTAAGCAGGTTGATCCTCAGCTGCTTCCTTCTTTGCAGCAGGAGCATTATCTGGAATAAACAGCTGTGGCTCCTCTACAGAGATGCTTCGTGCACTTTTACTTTTCTGTCTTTGATGAATCTTTTCGGTCTTTTTCACTTTCGACTTTTCCTGCCCTCCTTCTTCAGGTGTCTTTGATGTGTGGGCTGGTCGACTGGGCGCCGGATCATCAGTTTCACCTTTAGACCCAGCATGTTTGCCTGGTGTTTGGTGATCACCAACACAGTTGGCACCTACTGGGCTCTTTTTCACTAGAGAACTTGGTGAATTTGGTAATTTTGGTTTGACTTTACCGTCACCTGAGCTTTGTATTTTCTGCACTTTACCAGCGTGCTCACCTTGGGAGTTTTCAGCTGGCCTTTTCAAAGGCCTGATGTCTTTCTTTTCTTTTGGTGATTTCATTTTGTGCAGGTCACCAATTTGGACGTTTTTTAACAGTGTGTTTGGAGAACCAATATTTTCCTTAGTTACAGAGCTCGGTTTCTTTGTGTCCAAGTCTTTATTCCTGTTTAACGTGGATTCTTGTTTGGACTTGTCAAGATTTTTGGACAGAATATGCTGCTTCTCCTTGACCTCAGTTTCACTTACTGTAGTTTTATTGTCTTTAATCTGCGACTGCTTGTTGTCTGCCTTTGCTTCAATGAGTGAATTCTGCTCCTTGGGAACATTATGATTGTCGACCTTTGTTTCTTGTGTGCCGGGGATTCTTTTTAATGTTCCATTAGAGGCCTGCACATCATTAGGATTTACATAAGGACCCAGACCAAGAGTTAAATCATCAGTCGTGTTCTTCTCAATGACATCCACCACTGTCGTATTACCAGGTATGGGGTTCTGTACAGTGACTGTATCTTCCGTCAACGCAGTAAAACCTACATTAGCATCATATGACATGCCATCATCAAAGGATGCAGACTGGGTTGTGTCATCATTTTGTGAATAAGAGGGTCCAGGAAGGAGCTCAATCCTAAAACCACCGATTGTGACTGTCAATCGTCTCAATACAACTGTAGGATTCAACCATGATCCTCCACGAAGATCATTGACATTGATACGTCCTCCTTCTGTTAACTCCTTCTTCAGCTGAGCACCCGTAACTCCTTTTTCAATCAGAAAAGACCTTTGTACTCTATTAACTGGTTTCCTTCCCGGCCTTCCACGAGGAATTTTTTTTACAGATGTGTTGGCAGGTTCAGGCTCACCATCGTTTTCTGTGTAAAAAAAAAGGAAGCCAGATAGAAAATGTGTCAGAACATTTGTAATTTTGAGGTTTCAAATATTGTTTTTAAAATGAGCACAGGCTTACCACATGCTGAATCACCTGGATGTTTCTTAGGCCTGCCAGCACCACTTTTAACTTGTGTAGACTCTTCAGATGTTAGTTCACCTTCAAGACCTGCTGGCACCAAAGTTTCATCAAGACCTGCAAATATAAGGTAAAAAAAATCCTGTATTTATCAAATTCAGGAACAATATGATTACTAAACCAATGGACATAATTTGATTTCTAGTATTAACTGCACATTCTACTCTAACCATAACTATTTTTAATTGTAATATTTGATTTAAAACAGAGAACCAAAGCCTACAATTAAATTTTTATAAAGGCTCCACCAACAATAATAATTTTTGTGTTGACTTGGCCCATTTGACTTACCAGTAGTGGTAGAAACAGGAAATGCAGAGTCCTCAGTGTCCAGCAGATTAAACTGAGAGCTTGCACATCCAAACATGGGATCTTTGTCACTAAGCATATTCTTCAGTGAATCATCAAGGATGAGTTCTGTCCCAAAGTCATTAGTAGCTTCACAATCTATATTTTGACCTATTATTAGGGAATCATCCAACTGGTCACTGGGTATTAAATGATTCAAGGTGTCCACAATATCCATGAATGCTGTTGCTGCCTTCCTGAAATAAAAAAAAAGATTTAATTAGTATCAGCAACAATAATAATCTAACAGTCAGTGAAGACTTATTATTAAACTATCATACATGATATGCTCATATGCTCATATGTCGTCTAATACGATAGAGCATTGTAATATAACTCAGTCCTATCTGATAACACATGGCTAGGTCTTCCCCTTTTTCATTTAAATAAAAACCAATTGTGCAACATATTGGTATCTTTACATGGCCTTTACAAAGTGTTTTATTTTAGTACTTTAAAGAGAATAGTTAATCTCCAAAAGTAATCAGTGATGTTATCATTAAGGTCAACTGTTGAATTTAAGCAGGCCAAAAGCAAACAATAGCTAAACGAATGTTGTAGATCACACAAATTGCATGGTTGTGGGCTTTCTTTTAGTTTAGCTTTATATCTTATTTCCCAAAGGCAACTTCTGTTTGCAATAACATGCCGAAACCGAGATCCGGGTATATAGCTAGCTAGCATGCTAACAGCTAACGAGCAAAACCCGATCGTTAGCCACCCGACGATAACTTATAAAGCAAATCACTTCAAGTGGAATTGTTTGACTCTGTCTAGGTTAAATTGTACAAACAACAGTTGTTTTTAAAAATACATTTTACTACATAGGCCAAGACACAGAGAACAGTATATATGAACACGAAGCTTAACAGATCGATGGTAAACCTGTCTTCGGATTAGCTAAATCGTGTTAGCCTTGGTGCAGGCCCCTGCTACTAAGTTTGTTTGGAGCTTTGGAGCTGCAATGGCTTACCGAGGGTGTTTGTAAATAAAACACTAACAAACACAATGGTCCATATAATTGATAAGAAAAAACACATACTTATCACTTTCTGCAAGTCCGTATCCAACTATCGTAAGGTTACATACTCGCACAGCTACTCCCAGTAACTTCCTAACTACCAACGCCGTGTTTTGCTCCAGTGCTGCAAAGCCCTTGACAGCCAGTCACGTGGTTTGTGTTTACAGGCGGCATGGCAGCAACAGAAAACGTAGTCTTGTCTGATTTATTTATATATATATATATATATATATATATATATATATATATATATATATATATATATAAACGTTATATTAAATTTTAAGCCGCTACATAACGTTTTGTATTTTAAAATGTAACTTATTTATAAATAATATAAAGACAGCATAATTCAAAATGTTACAATCAAATATGATTTTAGGTTTAAGTAATTAATTTAAATGTCAGTTTTTAAAAAGTGGACATGAAATAGGTTTTAGCACATTAATATACAATTATGTTTTTTCAGTTTTATGAACTGAAATATGAGTGAATTTGGCAGAATGAGAAAATAGTTAATATGATTTGGAGCCATACAAATGCAACTCAACTGGATTTTGAATGGGTTTTAATGAGAGATCAGCATGGTGAATTGTTTAATTGCATACATGCATGTACTTAAATTTTGAATAAAAAGGAAAAGACACAGCATTAGACCATTTAGAAAAAAACGTATCTATTTCCTCTATATTTTGATATATATGTAGTAGATACATAAAGCAACAAAGACATCATCCAATGTTTAGTAGTTAATAGGTAAATGGCTCTTTTAAATTTTCATCTGGATCCAAACCGTACCACAGAGTATAATTGTGCACTGCTGCCCAAGCCATTCTCTCTGTGGTGAATGTCGCCGCCCACTGTCCTGATGGAGAAACAGAAATTGCACCTCCAGCCCCTTGAACACGATCTCCCATGTACTTCAAAGACACACGTGAAGCCTCAGCCACGGATTTACCTGTGTATGGAGAAATAGTACACATATTTCACGTATCTACATGAAGAGTTGACTAATCAAATTTAATCTAATGTACCTTGTTCAATATGTGACAGAATAAGTCTGGCCAATGTGACTTTGAGAATAGACTCTCCATGGCCGGTACATGACACTGCACCACTGGAGTTGTCTGCATATCCTCCGCAGCCTTTGAATATGAAAGTATTTGTAATTGAGCTGACTTAAGTTGTGGTTTTTGCTTTTATCATTTTGTGTAACTTCCTAAAAACATTACCAATAATTGGAGAGTCTCCTACTCTACCAACCATCTTATTTCGGATCCCTCCAGTTGATGTTGCACATGCAACATTACCAGCACTGTCCACAGCAACTGCCCCAACGGTGTCATGAGCCCTGCAGACAGGGGGAGGGGAGGCAACAAACAAATGGGGTCACAGATAATGCATTTAAAAACGCCGCATATATGGAGTATAAATAAAAAGAAGCTGTTTATATACCAAGATATAAACAGATATTGAGGGGAAATTTAATCTGTTTAAATTCTGTGATATTGAGGGGAAATTTAATCTGTTTATCTGTGTGTGCAATATTTAAAATTTCCCTTAATATATTTCATTTTTTATACATATAAGTTTCTGGGTACTTAAATTTCACCGACTTAATCACCATACACTTTTTATTTTATTTTTTAACTAATTTTCTATCCTGGCATCAGTCTTGTTCTAATTCCTTATTTCATGTTCAGTATAACACTCTTTGCTCAACTGGTCCATGAAGTTAAATTAAGTTTTCTGAATCTGTTTTGGACACTAAAAGCTCATTACCATCAGATCCAGTACCTACCACTGAGAGTTAAAATCCTCCATGACTCCAGTCACATAATTCTTGTGTTTCTCCCATTCTTTCCTCTCATTCTGCGTCACCAACATTTCAGTGGGGACTGTGTTCATACCAATGCTTTCTGCAAACATGTTTGCTCCTTGACCTGTCAACATGACATGGACGGTCTGATATATTCCGTGACAGCAAGCATGTATGAAAAAAGTAAGAAATGCAGAAAATGCATTATTAACGGCATTGTCAATGAGAATTAAGTCACTTTGCTGACGGCACACAAGAGTTACTTAAACACATTCTGGGGAAGGAAAATCAATATTTTGTAGATGTGTTTAAAGATAGCACCTTCTCCATCACTGCTCGCGCCAGTGAATAAGTTTCTGGGTACTTAAATTTCACCGACTTAATCACCATACACTTTTTATTTTATTTTTTAACTAATTTTCTATCCTGGCATCAGTCTTGTTCTAATTCCTTATTTCATGTTCAGTATAACACTCTTTGCTCAACTGGTCCATGAAGTTAAATTAAGTTTTCTGAATCTGTTTTGGACACTAAAAGCTCATTACCATCAGATCCAGTACCTACCACTGAGAGTTAAAATCCTCCATGACTCCAGTCACATAATTCTTGTGTTTCTCCCATTCTTTCCTCTCATTCTGCGTCACCAACATTTCAGTGGGGACTGTGTTCATACCAATGCTTTCTGCAAACATGTTTGCTCCTTGACCTGTCAACATGACATGGACGGTCTGATATATTCCGTGACAGCAAGCATGTATGAAAAAAGTAAGAAATGCAGAAAATGCATTATTAACGGCATTGTCAATGAGAATTAAGTCACTTTGCTGACGGCACACAAGAGTTACTTAAACACATTCTGGGGAAGGAAAATCAATATTTTGTAGATGTGTTTAAAGATAGCACCTTCTCCATCACTGCTCGCGCCTTCTCCATCACTGGGTTTGCAATGTTCTTTACACAAGACACAGCACCGCTGGCTAGTGTTCTTCCATCCATGATAATGGCATCTAACTCTACTTCTCCTCTGGTGTTCAGTGCTGCTCCGTGACCTGTAAGTGGATTTCACAAAAGATAAAAGTTTCTTTAAAAAGGCTCTCAGACAAGATTTGATACAGGTATTGTCACATTTAGTGGTGTCACTGTTGAGCATGGTGACAGCCCAAGGGCAAAGTGGATGTGGAGCAACACTTGTTTGAGTCATATTTCTGTCACATGGGAGATGTGTTTTCTTTGTTAATTGCTCGAAAATATACATAAAATAGAAAAAATACTTTTCGATACATTTGATGATCCTATATGTACAGTATATTCAGACCGACGTGTTGCATTGAAACCATGATGGTAATTTTCTACGGTGCTACACCACCAAACGTCCACAGGGTGGTGCTAATGCTGGAAAGATTAGATGAAGAGAACAGAACATTCACTCATTTACAAGTGAACGTGAATTATTTGTCACTGTGACACAGCACACCACTGCACCGAACGAAATATAAACACTGCATTTTACCCATCACCAAAGTGAACAGGGGAAGCTTAAGCCCCCGGGGAAGAGTGTGTGGGGACAGTGCCTTGCTCAGAACACCTCAGTGGTAACTTGGCAGTTGGTGGACTTGAACCACTAAGCCACCACTGCCCTTAACAAAGTTAATACACGATATCTACATGTACCATTTGCTACAGACAACAATGGTGTAGTATTAAACTCTGTATGTGTGGATAGGACTGAATGGATACTGGATAGCACTTGTTGATGTACCTGCATTAAACACACAGTTATTTTCCAAAGTCCTCACAGCTCCTTCGACAGCATCAACTGCATTTCCTCCTCTCTTCAGCACTGACATCCCTTCTCGTGCCGCAGCCTTCACTCCATTCACAGAGTCCTGGGCCAGATTGTTAGGTATAGCCCACGCCCCACCATGCACCACTATAACTGCTGGCATCTTTAACTGTAGAAAATGAGAATGAAGAAGTATTTTATTTTATATTCCCAAGATATAGCTTGTCTGTTAATGGCCATGGTGATTTGTTTTCCCCATGTGTTTCCTTGTTCATGTTCACTACTCTTGTTTTTATCAGGGTCAACAGAGGGCAGCTGAGGTCAATTCCAGGTGTCATCGGGTGAAGTATGGATACACGCTGGATAGTTCACCCCTCTATGGTAGGGTCACTTATAGAAGTAAAAAAACAATTCACACTTCCATTCACACATACGGATGATTTACTGTCAACAAAAGATAATGAGTTGGACTGTTGGAGGAGACCAGAGGAAGAGGAGGAAACTCATGTACACACGGAAAACACATTGACACTTCAGAATAAGTTAAGTCTATCACATACGTACTGTATCAGCTCAGCTCAAACCGGTGATGTTCTTGCTGTAAGGCAGGGGCTATAACCACTCTTTCACTGTGTTCAGATGTATGATTAGGAAAAGTATTTCAACGTTTGTTTTCTCATAACAAAACCAATTAATTCTGCAATATTTTTATTAGATTTGCTTGTTCATTTAATATAAAACATTTGATATGTTTTATGCATTTTCTGCATTTGCAGAACACGTGCTTTTTCATACTACAAAAGAGTAGTATGAAAAAAGACCAAACAAAGTGAGCTGGTGTTGAACGTGAAACCACAAGATTTTGTATAGTTACAGCAGGTTTAATTTAACTCTAACTGTAGCTGTCATCAATATACAGAAAATATTCAGAATATTTCCTCTGATCCGTCTGGAACTGTGGTTCTCGTTCACTGACAGCACACACGTGACACCACGGCGAGAACCTTTCAGGCTATCAGACGTTTACTATGGTAGGTACACACCAACACTCAACTCAACCAAAACCTCAACTTCTAAACAAACGTCTTTATTTCATTTACCTTCTCGTTCTTCACTGCTTAATTCCGCGGGACGATCCTTATCCACGTCAATCACGTGGTTTTCAGGGTGACGCTTTTTCTCCTCTTGTGTCACTTTTGTCTTCAGATTAGTGACCAATTGTGTAAAAGCTTCTACATTATAGGCAAATACCGTGATCTGTTGTTGTTTGTTTGCATATTATGGTACATAATGTGTTGAAAATAGCGTGATAAATGACGATAGCGTTACTACTAAGACTTCCGGTACAGCATTTCAAAATAATTGTCTATGCTATATATTATATAATATATAACACCAAAATAAAATAACAGTTGACATTGATCTTCGTGGCTTTTTTCACTTTCATATCCATCTCAGTCAAATAGAAAGAAATGTTTGGCTGAAGAAACACAGGAAAACTATTCTCAGCTTTTAGAAAGCAATTGTGTAATGAAACAAATTATTCGCTAGATGGCGTTAAAGGCTCTCCTAAATATTTGTGGATCAGTACAGAATATATAATAAATAATTAACCGGACGCACTCTAACCCTTACTGAGTCTCCTTATCCTGCAGTCAATCTTCAATTTGCACCATCGATATGATTTATTTATTCACATTGTTTTCATTTGCAACTCAGTATTTCATACTGTACATCAAAGGTTCAATTAGAGGTTCAATTAAACACGCAGCACAACGAGCTACCGTGGCCAGTTAAACTAGTAGTCAAACTAATTTCGTTGTAAAAAAAAGACCGTACTAAACATATCGTTTTGTCTGTTGATCATTATTGCTTAATACGTTTGGCACTGTAGGTTACAGTTGTAGTTGACACTGAGAGTTGTTTTTTTTTTTTAATATTCATGGTTAATAAATAACATTTATCCACAGCCAATACAACTAAATTAAGATACATATTTATAGCACTTATATTTTAGACTTTTAACAAGGTGTAATTTGTATTAATGTGTTTTAAATTGTTTGTCCCCAAAGTGTAGTTGAGAATGTTATGGTACCTGAAGTATATTTTCCTTAAAACGTGATTTAATTTAATTTAATTTGATTTTACTGAAGAGCAGTAATCAAACTGAATTGATGAAAACATTGTTAAAATTCCACTTAAATAAGCACTTGTAGGGCAGCAGCAATCCTAAGGTCGTAATCCTCTCTAAAGGTCAAGTGGAACTATAATTGATCATTCAGCCCAGCTCGTCAGTAAGTGAGGAGGTCAGTGTTGCAGGTGATTACTTATATTAATGTTGCCCCTATAGGATTCTTCCATAAAGTGTTGTTAATGTTCTGTAAAATGTCTGATGTGCAGAAAGGTGATTTACTAGAGCATAAGCATTAACCATATTATGTATATGCATATTTAATATGCACACAAGAGTATGTCGCTGTATGGGCATAGATACAGTATATATATATAGCCACCCTGCTTCAGCACCATGGACAGCGATACTGGTTTCAATTGTGTTTTAGTTTGATGTTTATCTATCGATTAGACCTCTTTTCTAAGTTCCGCATCATTGCCAAGCCTTTGAATGACCGTTAGCCATGATAGCCATACCTGTTACCATTGACCTGACTTGTTAAAGAACTTTAAAAAGAACTATTTTTTTAAACATATTTTATTGCGTTAAAACATTCTTAATACTTGATTACTTTTTAACTATTTTGGTTGCTGAATTAAGGGTTGAGTGACCAGATTACAAACAGCGTGGGAATTCATAGGTGGACAGATGTTGATGGTGACCAGTGAGATACTGATGTCAGGGTGCAATTTCTACCTTGTGATCCCAACTGGCATAATTTGAATATCATGAAAAATAACATGCCCTTTTAGATCATCACGTCAAATCACACGCAGTCTTTGTCTTTTCACCTGGGATAATTTACAGTATAAGCTCAGCTAAAGCAGCAGATTCCACAGCGCTGAAATCAGCTTAATGCAGGAAGAAATGTCCGTCCGATCCAAATGCAACCTTAACTTTTTTTCTTTTTTCTTTCCTTTTTTGTCCTATAGTCCATACCCTCGGAGCACTACGCCCAATTGGTATGCGCTCAGCGGGGTACAGTCTTTGTTTTCCAGCAGCTCCAGTGGCAGCATATGACCAATAATGATGCTGAGGGGCGGGGAGCAGTGGAGTCTGCAGACCCGCTCCATCTGGCTCAGTGCCGAGGAGAGGCAGCAGCAGGCAGCGGTGGCAGAGATGGGCTCACACCTCTGAATCACAACTCAGCCTCCAGCCCGGTCCATCATCACCATCTGAGAGTAGTTCTTTTTATTTATTTTTCTGTCTCCGCTGCTCGTACAGTTGTGAAGCCTCGTAGAGCAGGTGCAGTTGCTTTTCGACGCTCCGGAGTCCTGTGGTCTCACCTGCACGACCGGTGAAGAATTTCACTGTGATAGAAATGCATCCAAATAAGTATTTAACTGAACTGGCGGCGGAGAAGGACAGCATGGACTCATCCTTTGTGCACGCCGTGCGCCTTCTGGCAGAAGGTAAGTCATGTGTTTTAATCCCTTCCCAGAAATGCAGACTTCAGTGTTGGCACTATTGTATTGGATTTGCGGTAGGTGTAGTTATCTGGGGTGAATATATTGGAGCACAGTGACAGTCACAGTGTTGATTTGCTTTGACTTCCTCGAGTGATAAAGAAATCTAAACTTTTCAGCCATCGGAGACGTATGAGGTGTCAATAAAGTCATATTAACGGGTTCTTCTCGGGTCAGTCCTTATATACGCTATTGTTTAAAATCATCTTCAAAATGTATTGTACTGCCAGCTGCTGTCTCTATTGCACAGAGTATTATTAGATAAAAATGTAAACTCACTCACTCTATTTAATTTAGTTTCATATTGTTGTCCACAATATGAAAAATGTTCCTAAAACAGGACAAGGCACTACAAAAATAAGACTGAAAAAGACTGGAAATAGACACACTGTAAGTCAAAAAGCTCTTGTTTATGTGAAGAGAACAGATATTTCTCTAAATGCCCGTCCATTATGCGTACACACTCCTGCCAGGGCAATTTCTTCTTTGTAGAATTCTGGGCGATGACTTTGACACCAGGTCACGACCTGCTCTTTAGTCTGACGACTAGAATCCAGTTCTTTTCAGAGCTAATTTCAGATTTTGGAAAAAAAGACAAAGAAACAGACAGAGTTAGAGTTAAATCAAAACCTGTTGGTTCCAGGTTCTCATTAAAGCCTTATAAAAAATTGGATGTTTGAAATTCTTCATTTTCTACGGTTAAAAAGGCGGATGAGATAAACAGTAATGTAACTGAAGGACAAAGATATAATGACGTAAAACTCAAAGCCAGAGTGATGTGCTGTGTTAATCAGAGGTCTTTTGCAATTGTATGTCTTAGAATTTTTTTACTTTTGATTTGCGTCTCGGTCCACTGTACTGTAAGGGCCAAAGGTCAAAAGTTGAACTATTTCAATTATTTTTTGTTATGTACAGTAGTCAGTCATAGTGTTTATAGTGGAATTATATGGAGACAGGGACCTTCTAGCAGTAGATATTTTGTAATATAGTATAATAATATTTTTTCAAGATGTTTCATCCTTAACCGCTAACAACAGCAGTGAAACAGAGTTTTTTTTTCTCAAACACGGGTTAAAAGGCCATTCTCACTACAGTACTGTATATCCAGTCATATTTCCTCCTTCCTGACTGTATAGCAGTCACATAATGAAGGCATAGGGTGAGACAGATGTTTGACAGTCCTCCCTTCCTCTGACCCGAAATCATTGTACTGTACACTCTAGATGTAGCCTGGCTATTATTTATTTACACACTGAGTGTGTTAACTCTGACCTTCTAGGAAACGTATCTGGAAGACGAACATGTGTCACAGAGGAGACTGAAGTGCTAATAAGAACAGATTGAAAATAATAATATTTAGCGAACTGGAGTTGTTAGTCGTGACAGAGAGACACTTCACCTGCTTTAAAGTACACTCCCAAGTTTCCCCAGTTCCTGGAGAGTAGAAAAAACCCACAGGCCATCTAGAGGAGATCCAAGAATTTTATTTTTCTGCCTTCCTCACTGTTCCCTGCAGTCTGTATCTATCCTGTGGCCGCTCCCAACCAGACGGTGATGGATGTGCACAGCACGGACTCACTGACTGTAGTGTAAAACTTGTCTCAGCAGCTCCTAGGGCAGACCATGCGTGCTGCACAAATCAAAATGTCTATCAGAAAAATCACAAGAAGTGCTGATATTTTACTGAAATTCCTCAGACGATGTCAAAGATATCTGTCTCATTCTTCTAATTAGACTGATCCTTTTTTAAAGTATGCTGCTGAGACATTTTATCACTGAACTAATGTGCTTTAATGCAAAATCAAACATTTTTTTGCACCGAAGGTCAACACTCTGCCATGTACAGATTTGTGTCAGATTTGAGTTTCTCACCATATAACTGCGTGTCTGGTTAAAAGTAAAAAAAGCTGGCTGGATTAATGTGTTCTGATTGACCAGGGTGTAATTTATGCTCTGCTGCCTTTGCTCCCTGAGCTCTGCTGTTGAAATGTGTTGATGAAACACCTGACAGATCTGCTGTTGTCGCTATCTTTGACGCAGATGGGATCATCTGTCGCACAGCTCACTTTGCCAGCTTTTAAAGACAGATTGACAACGAAACTGCTGCTCTCGTCAGCCTCACAGCACACACCAGGCTGGACCTTTAAATGGAATTGAACAGATAGAACGGTTAGAGGTGACTACAAACAAACACAGGAAGCGACTCGAAAAGAATATTTCTGTCTTTTTGTCTTAAGTAATGTTCATAAGTAATGTTCATGTTGTCAACTGCGGAAACTCTTTTCATTTTTCACAATAGTGAACGATCAGAGGAATAAACCGCCAGTTTGTGGAGATGTATGGCTGAATATGAAAACAGTCAACACAAGCATGTGAAATAATGCTCATAATTCTAACCACTTTAACATGGGGTCATTATTCTCATCAGTCTGCACTCGTGTATAATACACTCTCCTATAAATCAGCGGTCCACATGATAAACTACATCCACAGATTAGTATATCACTGAAAGGTGTTGCATATTATCCTCCATTTTTCACATTATGCTCCTTAAATGGAACATTGTGGTATAGTCTCAGCATCAGGTCAATGTGTCTGAAAGGAATGCAGTATTTGTTTAAGTTAGTTCTGTCCTTTGAGTCATTCGTCTTACATTGAGCAGGTGTGGATCTCTTACAGGGAGGAATTATTCTTTTATTCAACTGTTTGAAAGAAAGAGGAAAAATACCACTAGAATGTTCTCATCTAGAACTTAGTATTAAATTCTTTCCTGTCAGGCTTCCTTAGTTATGAGTGACATGGTTCTTTAAAAAAAAGAACTTCAATAATAAAATTTCCTAAATATTTTCAATGTGAAAAACAATAAAAGCACAGAGTGTTGTTTTTTTAATATAAAAAACAAACTCCGCAGTAAAGCTAAACTAATTAAAAAAATAATAATCCAACCAGCAATTTTCACAAAAGGCAAATAAAATCCAAAAAGCCTCAATTCCATTAGCATTAATAGCTGCTTGACTACTGAGGCGTAAAGACAGGGTATAAATGGAGAATCCACCAAAAGGAAATGTCACTGGAGATATTTCTGCATAATTTATGTTTCACCAATTGACTTATTTGTCCACTAAAAATACAGAAAATCTCTTATTTGCCCTTTGCCTGACAAACAAAGCTCAAGTGAATTCCCAAATTACAGATTTGAGTTTTTATTACATTTCTAGAACCTCGATTGACTTTTCTAGAAACTCCTCCTTTAACTTAACACATTCTATTGATTCTTTATGTTTCATCTAAATTCTCTGGACATGTCCAGACCTAAAGTCACCCTAAAGGGTGAGTTAAGTCATGAAATAGATTAGTTAGGAGGATCGTCTGGTCGTTGTTTTTTTGTGTTTCGATTTACCCTAACTTGGCCAGGCCTGGTTTATCAAAGAGAGTTTTAATCCTTATGGGACTTCCTGGTTGAGTAAAAACACATAAATGGTACGTAAGTGTATACAGACAGCTTAGTGTACACTGACAGACGCATTGATTTATTGCAGAACGCTAATGCTTGTGTGCACCACTTACGCACTACAAACGTAATACAAACAAATGTTGAGAACATCTGAAAGGATGACATTGAGTTCTGATTTTAAACGACAAAAGAGAGCCGTTCTGTTTTGTTTTTTGTTTTGTTTTTTTAGCAAATTATCACATGTGGATGTGAGTAATGTTGTTTAAAGGCAGATGTCACTATATAATTACAACTATATTTGAAATAAAACATGCACAGCCTCGTCCTGATGTAAAACACCACTGATGATCAAACATGATTTAATCCTAATCATATATGAATTTTTACTGGGGTCTGATTTTGTCTCTGAAATTCTCACCAAAGTTGCTTCAGCTGCACATTCCCATGGTTCTTTCCACACTTTCCACATTCTTTCCACATTTCCACAATGAGATTACTTTCTTAGAAAGGAGCCATATGACAATTAGTTAAATCCAGTGTAGGTGATATTCACCCTGATTCATCTACCCTGTTGTCATTAGTTTGTTCCTGTAATACACAGACTACTGTATTCAAATGTTTTTGTAGTTATCAGTATTCTGATTGGTCCAAAAGAGTCAGAAATGACAAACCCTTTAGCTTCACAGTGATGCCCTTGCAAAGCTAGTTTGAAGATCACAAGTTTAAACAAAGAAATGAAACAGCAGACAAAGTGCAAAAAGGTTTACCTTTTCAAAGCCCTCATAGAAAGCTCACTTAAACAAACAGCAGTCATTTCTGTACAGCACTGCAGAAGTTCAGGCTCATATTGAGTCATCAAATAGCAGGACAGCGGTAGTAAGAAACACAGACAGTTGAGTCTCAGTGACTGACTTTTAAGAGGATCTGTGCCATATGTTTCATATTCTCAGAGCCAATAAAGAAGCACTGGTTTCTTCAGAACAGTTCCACATACAAGCTGGCTGCTCAGTCAGACGTGATCTCTTACCGCGTGTTTGTTACAATTAGCTCGAATTGTGCCTTGCTACACACTGCAGATCAGTCTGGAAGAAAACGATTTGTTTCGGGGGTTTTTTCTCTCCTTTTTGGCTTGTCAGAGTGATCGCTCAGAGTACGGCAGTAATCCACTAATTTGGAGGTACGACCTAACAAAAGGACAAAAAAGTAGAACGTGAGACAACGTGTCACATTTTGTCCATTAGGCTGACACGTTTATCAAAAGTGACTTACGGTGAGTGCATAGGTGGAATAAGATTAAATTCCAAGGTCGCGAGCATTTCGAGCAACAGGAATAAGTGGATGAGCTAAAGCCACAGCCCTCGCTTAGAAAATAGATATTACATATCAGATGTTGTTACTGTAAATCTTCAGTGCTGCCCATACAGATGGAAAGCTGTAAATAAAAGAAATATCCAACGGCAGGTATTTACAGCAAAAATGTAGTGTATATGTATGTATTGGTATTATTGTGGCACACACACAGAGAGCAGGATGTTGATAAATTATGGCAAACATTTGTGTTTCCCATGTGCATAGGGCCAGAGTTAATGGCACCTCTTGTAGCACTCGTACGCAGATGTCGCTTTCCACGCGTGGTTTTACAGCGCGTCATTTTTCTTCTTCCACTAAAGCTTCCCTCACCTCAGACTAACACTGTAAACACAAGACACTAAATGTGAAATGCAGTGTAAGAGAGCTAACAATGCATAGACACAGAAAGTGTCAACGTGCACACACACACACAGACACACACATAAACACAGTACAGTACAGCTAGGATACCGCTCAGTCTCAGCCAAGTAAACAAACAACAAAGAATTACCTGCATGAATATGTAAGTTCACAAGTTCTAATTTTATTAGAAACCTTGACTGGTTTTCCACTGAGGAGTTTAACTGCAGCCACCCTCGTAGCCTTAAGCAAGGTAGAAAGAAAAAGCAGTAAATCAGTTAAAGGCTTAGATGTGTCAGAATCCTGCAGGGACTGACTGTGGAGGCTTTATTTATACAGCCCTGCAACATAATTGGTGAAAATAGAAAAAAGAATGATTATTTGTCCTTTTACATGAAGCTCACGATGGGTTTTAGTTCTGGTTCTAGTTCTTGTTCCAGTTCCACAGGGTTGAATGAATACTGTTTAGATTAGACTGACATTACTTTAACCACAACTTTAAATGTGCACTGATGGAACTTGAATCTGAAACCCAAATATTTTTATTTAATAATAGCAACACCAGTCCATCACAATTAAATGTTCCTACAGCACACCATAGTCCACTGATTTTGTTGTTCTGTACGAATATACTGCAACTTAAATATTCAACTGTTGAGGTTGGATTTCATCAGGTGGAGTTTTAGCTTTATTGAGTTTTAAAAAAAGATCATCTTCATCCCAAGGCTGCTCATTTATTGAATTTGATTTTGACTCCAAATAATCACAAAGATTGTGTGGCAAACATTTTTACAGGAAGTAAAATATGACATGTACTGCTGGTGTACAATTCATGCAGAGTCAGTGTGTAATAATGTCAAATAATCGAGACTACCACTTTGATTTTACTTGATTATCTAGCAGTCGTACTTCAACGCACATAAATACATGATAGACCAACAGGTCAACAGTGTGAACTGCCTGATGAAAACCACATATTATTTTTTCATTCTTGCCCACTGAGCAGCTTTCCTGCAGCTCTGTGCCACCATGACAGAGAGGATGAAGAGCAGCAGAATAGTCACTCATTCACTTTCCCCAATGACTGTTTTTCATCCTGTGTGAGAGCTGGAACCAGGAGCCTTCAAAGCTCATACACTCACTCCTCTGATCTGTAGCCTCCCACCACTCGCTACCACATATTTGACAATGATGACACCAGTGTGAATATATCTCCATATTCATGAACCGTAGGCTCAGTTTTTTTTTTTTTTTTACTCTCTGTCTCATATCCTGACTCTTACTTTCTTCCTCTGTGTTGAGGTTACAGGGTGGTAGCTGAGCAGAATTAGGGAGACTTAACAGGCACCGGTGTGGAGTAAAAATAATATTCATGGACTACACAAGCAGCAGTGTTTTATTCAAATGATGCAAACACTTGGAACGAAAATGGGGCAGAGTGTAGCCTTAAACAAACAGACACGGGTCTAGAACTAATCCATGGGGAGAAATCAAATTACTGTAAAAGATTTTTATTTCTACTCTGTTTATTTTCTGTGAGGATATTGTATAAATCCTCATTAACAAAAGTATCTATGATGAGGATATATAAAATTAATTCTGTATCCTAGTAGATAATACTCACCCTAGATTCCTCTGCAAAGTAAACTTCATCTGTCAAACTCTTTCTGCCATATATTTTTAAATTAAAAAAATGTTTTTTTTTTTTTCAAAAGTATGGATAACAAACAATTAATCACGATAAATCGCCTTTACATGACTAATCTAAATAATTAGTCTATGTTTTATTAATATAAAAAACCTTCAATGCAATATGATTTTTTCATGCTTGGGTTGGTTTTGTTAAAAAGACAACTTTACCATAGTGTTTCTAAATAACATATATATAACATGTATTTGTATGTATTTCACTACATTGATTTTAAACATATTTTTCACTCCAAATTCAACCCAAACCTATTCAAAGTTATTGTTTTGTTTTAACCCAGGGCAGGCCAAACAACAGACACAGTTAGTTACAGTTAGTTCTCAGGAGACAATATCTGTCTGGTACGAACATAAAAGCAGAAAGTATTTGGTAATAATTTGGTCTGGACTAAAAACTGTCTGCTGACATTTCTACCCCCGCCCCCGACTGTTGACAACGTTGCTCGTTATCTGTGTTTTATTTGCATTCTCTGCCTCTTCCCTGAGCAGCAGCCACTCTTCTGCAGCAGAGACACATTAGTTTAATATAGGCACATGTTTACACTCTACAGGTTGTGTTTAAAGTATGTCCTCGGGCTAAACCCATTTTAAATGATATATTCTAGGAGCTCCTGTTTTCCCAGGACACTTGCTTAATGTAATGCAGTGTTTGATGAGTCTTTCAGTCTGTTTACTCGCATAAATTATTAGATGAAGAATCCAAAAAGTAGTTCTCTGGAGAGGTAATGAAGAAATGCTTTCTTTTGGGCAAATTTCACTCTTAGTGAAGCAGTCATCCAGCTGCTCCACTGCTGCAGTTTTATTCTAACCTTTTTTTCCCCCTCTACATTCATTCACTCACTCTAAAGCAGCTGAAATTTGAGAAGGCTTTGAATTTAGAAAGCGTCTGCAATCAAGCTTTTCAAATGACCTTCCATGGACAATTTCATACAGTCAGACGGTGTCACTGTAAAAGAACTGGAGCCATTATGTATTTATACTAGTCGTGATCAATCTTTGAAATATTCCTTTCAACTCTACTTTCAAGCAGGGATAGGTTTTTCACTCCACAGCTCCGTCGACGGGCTGTTGGCAGCTCAGCTAAGAGTGAAGCACTTCAGCTGTAGTGAGTTTACACCAAGATGATTGGTGCGAGTGTGAAGACGGGGCATTGGCCACTCGTGTCATACATCACAGCTGTTTCCGTCTGGATGTTTTCTAAAGGCTTAGTTTAGCGTCTCTCATTGTCACTCTGCGTGGTTGTCGTCTTTCATGTTCGTGGATTCCTTTGGAGGATCCTGTTTTCTTGTGACAAGCTTTTTTCTCTGTTTTTCTCACCCTCCCTTAGGTGTCACCAGTGGTTATTCCTCACACCTGTCGTCCCCCTCTACCTTGATATAGAAATCCGTCTAAACTCAATTTGTCTGCGCCGTTACTGGTTACATCTCCGTTAGGTTCAGGTGTTTGTTGTGCTCTGGTTTGAAAAACGTGTTTCATTTCTTTTAGTTTCAGTGAAAACATTATTTAGATACAATAGTTTTTCCACTTCTGTATTGCACGTACAGCTAAACTATGCATTTTTTTTCCAGTTTAATTTTTATAAATATAGTATTTATTACTTACTTTTAAAACATTCACTTTATTGGAACCGGACACAGTTAAAAACAAGGCTGATATGAGTAAAATGAATTGTGTTATATTTAATTCATATTTGGTGTATTTTAATACATAGTTTTACATGTAGTAGTAATCAAAACACCAAACTCCTAAACAATCAAAGCATCAATTCCATTTTTTTTAAAAACAAACAGAAAAACCCCAAAACATTATATGGTCTCCATAATGTCAAAGCACTTTGACTCCAGCAGTAATGTAACTATGAGACTCCTGCTGAGAGGGTGTACAGCATTAGGAATGGGACATTCTCATACGGTATGTTAGATCTGCTGAGTGAGCACATTTTTAGCTGAGAGGTAACAATATCCAGCAGCATATTCACTTGTGAGACAATGCATAGTTAGGTGCCCTATAATTTGCCCCCAGCCTAACATTACACTATGGGGTGGCACGGTCAAATTTGCTCGGGAGCAAACTTGAAGATGTTCACTGATGCTTTTGTTTGGTTTTTTTTTTTATGTTACATAACAGACTAATTATCTTCTCACCTATATGTTTTCTTTCTCTCCACAGAGATTGAAAAGAATGATGGTGATGACCAGAGAAAAGATGGTGACCTAAAGAAATATCTAGACATCATCAGCAATAAGAACATCAAACTCTCAGAAAGAGTTCTCATTCCAATCCAGCAGTATCCAAAGGTAAGAGACGAGTTGGACATATTCAAGGTCTGGGGATTTTTTTTCAAAGGTTCAAAGAAAGAAACGTTACAACTAGTTGCTGTTTTGTGCTTAGAAACCTGCGGGGTTTTACCTGTGGTTCAAGATGTAAGAGGATTGAAAGCTGTGTTTGAAAAACACAACGATTTCCCTAATTGTCAGTCAGTGAATGAAGCCTCCGGCTTCAATACGTTTGGCATCGAAAGATGTATTGAGTTTTGGAAAGTCTAATCGAAAGCACTGTCTGTTTGTTTTGAGTTAGTCATCAAAAAAACAAGTTTTCACAGCAGACAATCCCCTAAGAGTACAATGAGGAACAGTGGCCATTAATCACTCAATGACACTGTACACGCTATGGTGATTCATGCAATATCTGTACTGACAAATGAAATGTGGCTTAATGAGGCTTCTCTGTTGGGAAGCTGAGCCACAGCACACAGGTGCAAGTAAAACCAAAAAGACTTGGACTCAAGGAAAACAGTCGGACTGACTCTGCATACATACATAATTACATGCATGCATGTATACATACATACATTTCTGTCACAGGGAGCTAAGAGTTGTGTTAAAAAGTGTTTAGTACAAGGTACGCGATGCAGCAGAACACATTTTAATACACTTTATTGATTATTCTCTGTGCTTTGCAAAAATGCAATACAGTACAAACAGATCGATGACAGTTTTGGATCAGTGGTGTATGCATTAACCCCCTTAAGTCAATTTTATGAATAATAATTGCTTGACTGAAGTAATATTTTAATAAGCAAATTAATTTGAACTCTATATAAGTCCCCCCCCCCCCCATTTTATGTTTTTAGGAGGATAATATAATTTAATCAAATTACATTTTTAATTTTATTATATAAACTGTAAAGTTTGTCGGGACAAAAATGTGTTTTTTTGAATTTGTGACTGATTTGACATGAAATAATTCACCCCAAACTCTGTGAAATAAGGCATGTATTTGTTAAGGGAACATTTTATTATCAATTGCTTTTTTTTACGTGTGGTAAATGTCAGCCTAGTCAAAGTTTAACATGCCCTTCTAGTTGTAATTTCTTCCCCGTCAGACAAATACCAGGCAATAAGAGGTTGTTAGCAGAACAGTCAAAGTTTTAACTGTGCCCCAGGAGCCTGGGTGATACATTTAAGTCAAGTCAGCCCCTCAGGACACTCCATACAAATCAATTTGCTGTTCCCTCCACAGTGTTCGGAAAGTAATTAAGCAGTGGCCAGGAAGTCCTCACTCTATTACATTGACTTCAGATCTATAAAAATGTCAATTGAATCAGTTGCTTGTGAAGAGAAGATGCACAACGACTGAGCGATATCTCATTAAAGAAAACTTTCCATCCATTCTAGCATTTTCACTTGCGGCCTACTAAATGTGTTTATTGAGTTTCCAGTGTACAAAGCCGGGCATAAACATAAATGAACTAAATGATTGTTGAGGAAATGTCAAAACTAGGAGAGGTGGGTGTTTGGCTGAGTCTGACTGACAGTCTTCTCTGTCAGGATTTCTTGGGCCACTGCAGGGATTTAGTGACATCTAGTGGTCAGGATCTGTTTTATTTTGTTATTAATAAACAGTCCTGTTACAATCCATCTGACATAAACTCAGTAATCTTGTTGGAGAACATTCCACCTGACATCTGGTAAAGGCAGATTCCAGGTGCCACATGTGGCTCTTTAGCCTCTGCTTTGGCTCCCTGCAGGAGAACTGTCAGCATTATTAGAATGTAGCAGATAGGACGGCACGTTAAGACTTACAAAAATTAAGTTTAGTTTTGCTAACAGAAAATCCACAAAATTTCACTTGCTCTTTCAACACAAGCTCAGGTGCGCAGTTCTATGTTAGAATGAGAAATTCTGACTGGTCACTGTTCACAATAGGAGTAAATATGTCATACTACTTTAAATACTGAAAGTAACTGTTTGGTTTGGCCATTGTCTGGACATAGGAATCCCCATGTCTTATATTACTACAACCATTAAAACATAAAACACTGCAATACTGCCATCCTGTCATGTAAATGACTGCTTCAGTGTTCAGTGCCCTAGACATCTCATAGCCCCTGATAAAGATACACTCCTACTTACACCTAGATGTGAATTCAAATAAAAGTAATTCTAAAGTGCATATTTAAACAACAGGATTTAAAACCAGAGCTCCAAAAAAAACACATCCACGCAAAGAGACAACTTGCAAACTCCATACATATCCATCAAACCAGTGACCTAATCTAGTTTAAGGCAACAAATATTTTAAATATAAAATAAATGTAGCTTGTCGAATGTAGCCTCGTGTTAGAACAATTCAAATAAAATTAAAAACAAAAGTTTTCTCACACAGTTCAGCTTTAATAAGTTCACCATGACATTTAGCAAAACACAGACATGTATATCAGCAATCAAGTCGCATTTTCATTTTCCGTTACTCTTATGTACACTTCACTTAATTTTTAATCAATACTTGTTATCGTGCCTGCGGGGAAATAATTGCATATACAAAAAATGAGTCTGAAGAAAATCAGTGGAGTGTGGTTCTTTAAAAAAAAAAAACGTAGATTACAAATGTAGCAAGTAATAAATAATGGAACAACAACAATAATTATCATCATCATTATCAGCATTGTTATCATTTTACAGGTAAAGCACACTGGCTCAGGTTCAGGCAGGACCAGGAGTATGATAGTGCTGAATTTGCCAATTAAGCAAAGCAATGGAGGAGGATGGAGCAGTTGTCCAACAACACTCTCTGTGACCTAATTGCACTGTCAGCACCTCACAGCACTGCAGTGTCACTATCTTAAACATCATGGTTACACTGCACTTTAGGCTAATAATGAAGCACCAATAACATGCCCTGCAAAGAGGATAAGGGAAAGTAATTAGACAAAAATGCAGGAAAGGGATGAAATACAGTACATGAGAAATGGATGATAAATAAATTTGATAAAGACTTGCAATGAACCAGAATATGAGCTTTTAAGGAAAGTTTAGTGTTTCTTTTGAAGTGTGCAGGGAAAGCAAAAACATATTAAAAACACCTGCGAAAGTGAAAGAGATTATAAAAGAAATTTTGACTTTTACTCTCCAACTGCAGCAAACATTAATTTTGCATTAACTGCTTTGACAAATGTTTGCGCGATGTGAATACAGGGGTATGCATTCTTGCCAGTTTTTTTGCAGATCGATATTTTTGATTTTTACTCCAACATCTGGTCTGACTTAGAGGCACAAACTAATCAATTTTACTTTGCCTCACTTTACAACCTTACTTTGTGTCTTTTGTTATTTCCCACTAGCGTGGCCCATTCAATAGGTCCTGTCTTATTTAGTGCATCTGATATACAGCAAAGAATACAAGATACCTGGCACTGATGCTTTGCCGTGTTTTAGCAGTCTGATCAGGCTGATTCAACCCTGGGCCCATCATCCTGCTGCAAAGTCATTAAAAGCAAAGTAATTAAATTTATACTGTGGAAAACTTTGCTGCATGTTTATGGATCTGGTGATGTGTCGACATGAAAGATTAATGTCTTCTGTCTATTAACCACCCAGGACTAATTTAGCCCGTCTTTATGGTTCTCTGCAGCATACAAAAAAAGTCCACCAGAAAAAAAGACTCATCATAAACTATTTACAGTCCGTCTCGTCCTGTCTTGCCTGACCCTTGCTGTCAGAAAACTCGGCCGAGCTTCATTTGACACAGCTGAGCCACACTGGGCTGAGAGACGAGGAAACTTCCTCTGCCTTCGTGACCTTCTCTTTCTGTCTTTGGCAGGGAACATTTTCACTTTTAACCAATTGCCTGTGCGGGCCTGACATTCATCTACCTTTTAACTCGTCTGAATTAATAAAGTGCACACTTAAGACAACAAGCTAAACAAATGGATGAAGGTATTACATGCAAATTGGGTAGAAAAAGGTGCATTCAATTTCTGTTGGAAAAAACTGGTGACCGTTATTTAACTCAAGAAAATGTTGTTTTTTTTGTGAGTCATTGGCTCAGTCCACTGTAGACTTAAGCTGTTAAAAAGAGTTCTTGATTCTTTTTCTGGAGCTCTACTCAGTGTACGGATGACTTCCTCCATTTCTCATGTATGGTCAATGTGTTTACCTCGCTTCCAGTCACACTGCAGTCACACACAGTGTGTGTTCAGGAAGAGCTCAAGGGCAGGTTTCTTTATAAAAGCAAGAAAAAGATTGGTGGGCAGCTGGTGTGAGACCTGTGTGTGGTGATAATCATTTTAAACTCCTTGAAAGGAAAGGAAAAAAACCTCAGTGAGGCCCTGAGTGGCATTGAATTGTGATGCTTCCTCACCGACTAGTGAAATAGGGTTTAACCAACCTCAATTAATGTTTTCAAAGCAACTCTCAAGCAGTACTTGTTTAGTTTTTTTCCTCTTTGCTCCAATTTCAGCTTTAAGAAATGTATTAGCATGAAAAGTAATTTAAAATATTTATCGTATTTCCTAGTAGACAAGACTGTATTTAAAACAAACTGCTTCATTTGAATAAAAGCCAAGATAGTAATATGTCAGATTTTTTAGTTTTTTGTTGGTAAATCCACAACCATTTGACCACAGACTGAGGGTTTGAAGGTGCATCCTAATAAAGACTGATACCAGCTTCACACATCCTTCATGAGGGACTAATAGTGTGTTTTGTGCTCGGCTCCCTATAAAATCTACGCTTAGACGTGTTGCCGTTTTGCAGCCTGTCAAGATAAAGGAGTGCAGCCTTGAAGGGTTCTTTCAGTGACCTCGCCATCAATTTCTGTATCTAACCTTCGTTGAAAAAAAGTAATGAAACCTTGAAAACGGGTTGATCTCAGCCAACTGGAGGAGCAGAACTACAGCTGTACCTGTCTGACTTCCACGTGAAAACAATTCATCTTTGACTACACCTGAAGTACACGTGCAAGGCTATTTGCGGTGAAGTTGTTTGTTGTAAAAAATGCATTGGTTGTGACTGAT